GGACTTACCCTTGGGGTGAGATTCAGTGTTTACTTTCTTCATTTATAGAAAAAGTGTATGCGGGGAAGGGGGGTGGGGGGTGGGAAGGAGGGGTCAAGAAAGGACAAATGTCAGATTCTGTCAAGTTACTGTTTTCAGGAATCACTTTTGGAGGAACCCCTGTGTTATATGTGTTATTTTGCCTTTTATTCCCATCTTGAGTAGTGATGTTTACGTCACAACATCACATGTCCTTGCATAAGGACAGTTTGGATTAGGTTCTCAACCAGACATTAAAATGATTCCCACTCATCCAAAATTCCACATCAAACAAGGGATCCGGTGTGAAGACCATTTCAGACGAGAAGGTGCGACACTGGCTTTTACCAAGGAAGAAAGACAAAAACATTAGATATTTCTGATTCTCAGTTCATGGGATGCTCATGCAGTTGAGGTGAATTTCACTGTAATGTTGGTGTGACTCAGTTATGAAACCCATTCTCAACAATAACATCAACAGGGCCAAATGCGGAGAATTTAATGTTTGATTATCACAGGAATGTGGGAAACCTACTGGCAATGCAGCCATTATTACACATGGAGTTTGACAAACCAGAACTACTATGCGCAAAGGAGTCACTTTACCACTCTGACCTCTAGTGTTACAGTTAAGAGGTGCAATGTAGGTGTTCGTAACGGCAGTATTGCTGAAAAAGTTGACTTTTTAGTGGTTCAGAACTATAGACTGTATAAAAAGATGGACGCAGCATCCGGGTCTGAAAAGTGAGGCTGATGCGGAAATCTCAAAAATTTGCATTATATTTAATGGCCAGCAGATGGCGACATCGGTGGTTGCAGAAAGAAGTTCAATGTTATTGAAGTCTATGAGAAAATGACCCTACTTTGCCACCTGATTTATTATTTCATTAATGATTTTCCACATCATGTTATGGTATCTATCGCAAGTTTCAAGTCTCCTTCGATATATCGCGATGTTCATTTTTTTTTAAATTATGGTCCCAAGTAGAATAGAATAAAGGATAAAGCCAGAATATGCTTTAGGGGCATGGCTATCCTCTGGTCCTCGTCCGATACGGACAGATCCAGAGCCACGGTCCTGCCCGGATCTTCAGTTCAGGCTCTCGTCCAATAGGAATCACATCTGGTTGCAAAATGGCAAAATGGCGCAATTCAAATTGCCAAAATCGAGGCTTCCTAAATGTTATGCTGAAACCAATAGGTGACGTCACCGTTGCTTCGTCCATCTTTTTATACAGTCTATGTTCAGAACAGAGCAAAGTGAGGGTTCCCTGTTTGATGTATCAGTTTTAAGCACGCGAGCGCACAGAAATGAACACGAACAAATAAACTGTAAAATAAATTAAAAAAAAAAAAAAACGATCCCCTGGGTTTATTTTGCGCCGACCGCAGCTTTTTGTTGACTGTCACGTGTATGCCTCCCAATGGGATTTATAAACACACACAAATAATAACTACTCTAAAGACTGTGGAAATAAAATTCATTTTTATGCTTCTTATTGAACTTCTGGCTGGATTTACTGCCTCATCTGAGCAGTGATGACAGGCTATTTGTCACAAAATCCCAAAAACTTTGTATGAAATGCTAAAAAGTGTAATCATAACTTAGCAGTCTGATTATTTGGTCTAAATTACAAGCTTGGAATGCCAGTGAAATTTTAACAGTATTTTACTGAAGACTTGCATGACAAGGAATTTTAAAACTTGTGCTCCGAGGCATACCTCTCCGCTAATCAAGTGATCACCTCGGAAGAAGATATCGAGTAGTTTTTTTTTTTTTTTTCTGTCAAGCTGATATAAGGGTCTACAAGAGACTTCATTCAGATTAAAAAGTGTATGTTTGTAAAACATATAGAGACTGATTTACCAAAACCTCAAGCATCTGGAAAACTTTTTTGGGACGTACAAAATAAATAGCAGGTCAAATGGCACTTGCTTAATACTAATCAGTGGTGATGCTTTTGGATTTAAATGAGTTAAAGCATCTTGTACAATTTAAAGGTTTCAAAAGTGCAGTTATTTTGAGTTCATGAAAAGCATCAGAACTTCACTGTGTCTCAAGGTTAAATCATTTTTGATAACTGGTTAAACAAGTTCAGAAATGCCAAATCTCACGCATTTTTTAGGCTTATTCACCGTAGTCCGCAATTATTCAATGAACGCTTATTAATGAGATTCTCACGCGGTATTAAAATCCTTGTGCATTGAAGTTTCAGTTTCACTTGCGTAAAGGTGGAGCTCACCACAAGTAACATGGAAAGCGATTATGACTCCGGACTTCCCGTGCTTCTCTTTACTCAGGGATTGGAAACAATGCATGTGTCATGATCGTTTAAATTGTTTAAATGAAATAAGACCATTTGAAACGTCTTTATGCAATTCCATTGCTTTCAATCCCTCAGTAAAGACAAGCGTGAGAATTCCGGAGTCATGATCGATTTCCGTCTCACTAGTGGGGAAATCCACCGTAATGCACGTGAAACTGATTAACTTAATGCACAATGACTTAAATACCGCAAGTGAATTTCTTCAGTGCGCATTTATTGAATAATTGCTGAGTACGGCACAGGAACGTGAATGCCACTAAGAGGAGGGACTCACGCCGAATGCGTGAGATTTGGCATCTCTGCTTCAAGCTAAGATTCATATTTACTCACAGACTTTGGAGTCCACACTGCTCTCTCCCCTGCTGCTCAACACACTAATTACAGTTGGTTGATGGTAAAGCTCTTTACTGCGATAAAAACCTGTGCATCTGTAAATCCCAGGTTAAATTGTTCTACACTAATCTAGCAGGTTTAAGCCGCTTTCACACCGGACGCGAAACAAATTTTTCGCACGACAGATTACATTCAAAGTCAAGGCAGACACCCAAATAAACGCGAAACGTGTATTCGCGTCTTTGCATTGACTTTGAATGTAATCTGTCGTGCGAAAAATTCGTTTCGCGTCCGGTGTGAAAGCGGCTTTAAACTGTGTTTTCAACACTTCTAGCTAGTCGTCCAGTGTTCGCTGGCTGACTAACCACGAGTCTGACCCCTTCCCCAGCCACACGTTACGTTACATATTATCAACCACACATTTCAGCTGGTATATTGTAAAAGTGAACCATAGTCATACAAACTGGAAGAGGTAAAACAGCTAGACTGAGCTGAGGTATGGCAGTACTACAATAAACAGCTCCGATGCAACATCACTCATTAAATTACATGGGAACAAGACCACTTAAACTAGGCACTTCACAACTGCCGTGTTCACAAGAAACCACCTAAACCAAAACAGACAACAGGCACCATGGACCGCAGAATGCACCTAAACTGGTGTACAACATCAAAAAATAGCATTATGCGGAAATGACACAGCTCAACTTGATGAAGCTTTTACAGACCACATGCACTGCAGTGTAAGTTGGTTTCAATGAACAGCAAGTTAGCAACCAATGGTGAGTCGTAAAAATTGGTAATTCATTACAACATAACTTCCCACACAACGAGACTCTCCCAATGGCACAAACACAAACGTCTGTTCCTCTTGCTCAATTTGGTCATCACAAACTGTGCTACCACTAGAGGCCACTGTTGCATTTAAACACAGTGACATTTTACTCTCATCCACCAGAATGAGGAACTCCTTCCTTTCCTTACCTACATTAATGGCCACCAGTCACTGTGCTATCAGCCACACAGGCTGACCTTTCACCTCTGACCTCGGCCCTATTTATTCTGTGACTCAAATTAAACAGACCGTTGCTGGCAGGAGTTCACCTTGGCCATGTCCTAACCAGTCCTCAAAACATGAGCAGCCTTCAAAGCATAAGTTTAATAACCTTCTGCCTACCTGAATACAGATCACTTATATTACCAGCGAGTTGAGCAAAGGAGCTTTAAGTGGTAAAAAAAAATTCTCGAAGTAGCTTACTAAATATCACTGCACTCTCTAGTTTTGCTGCTGTATTCAGGAAAGTGCATGTTTATCAAACAAAATGTGAAACCAGGATGGCCGAGTGGTTAAGGCGTTGGACTTAAGATCCAATGGACATGTGTCTGCGTGGGTTCGAACCCCACTCCTGGTAGCTGTGCTTTACCCTTCTCTGTATGTCCCCTCTCTGCTCTTATCTGTTCTGGCACCTCTGTGGTGGAATACTGGTCCCAGTAACAACAGAAAAGTATTTCATTCAGACACTACCCTTGTGGAAATGATAAAATTAACTCATTCCCTATGCAATACTTTTATATAAAATTGTTGCGTTTGTACGGAATACATTTCCCGAAAATTACACAATATAAAGTATTGAAGTACAGGTGGCCCATGACCGGGATCGTCTACTGATTTTGTGTTTTCATCGGACTGCGAATGGTCATCCACGCCGCTGGCACCGGCTAACCATAGGGAATGGTAGAATTCGCCGTGCTGTTGGCAGCGGCTTGCCGTAGGGAATGAGTTAAAGACTCCAGTGCGACAAGTACGAAAGTCACAAAATGGATGCAATGGACAGTTCTTTTAGCACCAGGATCTTTAATTATTCTACTCATGTCTTTGATTCATTGAAAAGGGTAAGTTGTCTTGAATGTCAGTGGGCCCGCATTACACACATTAAGCAGGATTACCCTGCTTCCCTATAAAACCGGGGAAAATGAAAATAAAACACACATGAAAGAGGAGCAGAGACTGCGTTTTGCATAGGAAGCCATTTTAATCCTGGTCATTCACCTGAACACTATGCAACAGAGCCAAAGCAGTGATGTTCATTAAATTCCCTGCTTATCACTTCGGGCTGCAGTGTGAGGCGATATCTCCAAATATGTAGTGTCTCCTCAACCACCAGTCACAAAATCCAAAGAACTACAGATTGTGGAATGAATTTCAGGCTGCTTTATTCACCACTAAAGGCCGCTGTAGCGTTTAAACACGACACTGTGTCATGGTCCCAATCCACCTGCATGATAAGCTCTTTACTTGCACAGGCCAGCTTGCTAGGATGTGCCAGGATGGCTGAGTGTTTAAGGCATTGGACTTAAGATCTCATGGATATAGGTGTGTGTCTGTGTGGGTTCAATCCCCACTTGTAGCAAATGTCTCCTAATCTTCTCTGTATGTCTGCTTCTGGACACATCTCCTGTTATACTGGCTGCTGGAATAAGCATTTTACAGAGGCTGGATGAGTTAGTATAAGCTTTTACCGAAAATCTGCCTATTCTGGTTGTCACCCTTCCTTTCAATCTTTCTGATTTATATTAACTTGATATTATCTGCACAGATGGTGTTGATTGATTTACTTGTTCTGAAGCAATGGTCTCCAAAACTCTCCACGGAGGTCTTGCATCATGAACATTTTCATTCCAATACAATTTGGCATAAGTGGTTTAAACCAATATACAGCTCAAAAGCAATGACCCTTGAAAGAGATGTGTTTTTTGGGGGGGGGGGGTGTTCACAGAGAAGCACAGAAACAGAGGATACTTGGATGATCAAATGGCATCAATAGATCCCTGTTGGAGATTACGCTGACCCATAATTCCTTGCAGCAGTAAAATTTAAAGTGACACACCAACCATCTGGCAATTCACAAAATCAAATACTTAAATGATGACATTGCCTTGTGTAAGTGCAGTGAGATTATTTCAGCACTGCAGTTGTCTTTTCCTCAGTTCCTATGAATTCTCATTCACATTTTTCCTTGACCTTATGATGTTTTCAACTGAGGTTAAGGGAAAGTGGTTAGGAATTAGAGGATAGGGCATAATTTTTGACTGTCTGACCACAGCCATTTTTTTTTTTTTTTTTTTTAGAATTACCCTATTAATTTTAGAGCTCGACCCTTAACCCCAACCTTTGGGTGCTTTGATATTTTTGAGGGTTAAACAAGAAGAGGCTACTGATAGCCTTTACTCGGGCTAATGAGCTTTTCACCTGGTGCTCGTAAATAAAATTTGCGCTATTTGCGCATGCGCTGGATTCGTAACCGAGCCTAAGGAAGATTGTGACACGAGGTAAAAAAAAAAAAAAAGCCCATTTTTAGACTTATATCGGCCCGAGTAACAAGAGGCTTGCCGTTGAACACCTTTCTGAAAGGTTTACTGAAGAACTAACACTGGTGTGTCGTCCTCTCAGCTCAACACCGCCATCTGCTGGACGCAACTGACAATGTTTTGCATTGACTGCAACCTTCATGGTGGCTCTGTCATTGCCAGATTAACTTGATTTAACCCTGGATAGAAACTGAGCGCAGTGCAGCTAATTTTGGATCAACAGTAAATTGACTAATATTAGTGATAATCTGGGGTGTATGTGGCAGGTTAGTGTCTGTGTTTTGTCCACGTGTTTTTGTTTTTTTCTCCCCTCAAACCCATTACTTCTAATGCTATGATTTCTTAGGAGATCTATAGCCTAATTTTAAAAGATGAGAAACGTTCTGAATTGTTTTGGGGGATTGTCTTTTAGGAGTGAGACTATGCTTTTCCTGAGAACCGTATAGGAGTAGCCAGCAATTGTGCAGATTAACATCCCATCTCTCTCTCTCTCTCTCTCTCTCTCTCTCACACACACACACACACACACACACACACACACACACACACACACACACACCGGTCATTTCCAATCACAGTCCTGGAGTACAAAATTGGGAAGAGGACTGCAAAGAATACTTTTGATCCGGGACAATTTTCGTTTTTTTTATCCAAGACGACAAAGCGAAATAGCGACCTTTAAGTTTTGGTCGGTCATCCGACCAAGTTACCGAATGAGCAGTCGCAGTTGCCGTGTTGACCCCTCAAGTACATCACGGCGGAATAACACGTTCTGTTTACAGTGCTCGCCTTACCGACAAACATTTGGGGTCATGGATGAAAGATACAGGATGCCCAATGCTATGGAAAAATTGCAGTTCTAAGCGATTCGCAGTATCTATGGCAATATGTCGCCATCGTCAGGGCGCAGGTTTCCACCTCCATCGTTGTCGCCGGTGCGACTAAGTGCCGAAAGCACGGAGCAAAGCGAAATTCCCAAATACTCTCAAGATCTCTCGGGGAAGGATTGGGGAGCTGCTTGTCCCGAGAAATTCCTAAGAGGTTAGCAGCTGTTCCCGGGGTCTGAAGCGTATATATTTCCTAGCGTCTTGGCGGGTGTCTTTTTCGGCCGTGTCGCTACGAATGCGGGGGTATTTTCAGCATTTTGTAACTCAATCCCCTAAGGACCGTATACGGTGTTCCTGTTGGCCCAACTCACCTGATTTGCGATCCCGCGCTAAAAATAACATAGAGGCGCCGGAATAGAGACAACAGGTCTATCATGTAGATTTTAGTCAAAACATCTCACCAATATCGGCTTAATTAGCGACAGTTTCGCAGATACATTTAAACCTTAAAGTGTTTGTTTTATTGACTTTTTTTTTTTTTACACAGCAGCAGGAAAGTGTGGAGAACTTAGCAACAATCTGGTGTCACTTGTCGTTACAGAAGTTTGTTTTCACACTCAACATCCAAAAATAATTCCGGCTTAGCAAAGCTATTTAACAGACATTTTTTTATCTTGGCGTATGAACCAATTATATCAATTTCTTTCTTTCTTTTTTTTTTTTTTTTTTTGGAGGCACTTAGGCTTGTTTTGCACTTGTCATAAAGCACTCCACGTGTGCATCACGCGTTTCATACCTTGGCAAACTGTATGCTAAATACAAAAGAAAGAAAAAAATGCAGTAAAAGCATTCAATAAAAGAATTCACAAATGTAAGCTTATTGATTTTCCTGTGCTTCTGACAGATAGCATTCACAGATGAACAGACCTCAGGCACAGAATAGCTGTGGTCTAAAGAAATTAAAATACAGAAGACCATATGTTCCAATTTGTCAGCTGAATGTGACAGAACTGAAAAGTAACTGCTAGGGTGTGCAATTCTTGACTTTTGAGGACAGGGTCGGTGGAAAGCTTGACGGATTTTGTCCTGAACTGTCAAACACAACCAGGATGAAGAGCCATGAACAATAAAACAACATATGGAGGAATCTGTAAGTACTTTTGACAAGAGTAAATTTGGAATTTGGGTTCCATTTGCCAGCTCGAAGGTCTGCACATTGGATTGGAAATGCATGCATACAAGGTGAAAGCAGAGTCTGTCAGCTTTCACTGGAGAGTATTTAAACCCATGTGAATCATGCGGTCCTTCTCACACGAAGAAATTGCCTTCACATTTTTGTGGAGAACACTGTAAATTTATTCTTCTTAAGTAGTGGAGCTGTCAACGATCAGCATCATGGAAGCACAGTCTTTGAGTGGAAAATAAGTAATAAGTGAATCACGTAACTTTTAAAGGTGTCAGATTATGCTTTTGCGGAACACGTTTTGACCATCCAAACATGCACCTGTGTATAAACAGACCATGGAAATGACAATATTAAACTAAGAAATAGGCAGAATAAGATCCCTTTAATCTTTTTCCCCCACAATCGCACACTCAGAGAAAGAAAACTCAGGAAGGCTGCATATACAATATACAACACAAATAATGTAAACATTTTTATTCAAATTATTTACAGAACACTTCTGTCAGTACCCGGAGACACTGCTTCAAGATTATTTTTCAGCGGACGTGATGATTATGGAGGTATGTGATGAACTCGCAAGTTTTCCTGGATGTTTCTTGCCGTTCTTGATGAAACACTTAAACACAATGAAACACAAATGGATGAAAAGATCTACTCAGAGCGGATGGCTGATTCGCACATTTGTATGGATTTCCTATTGACACAAAATGGAGGAAGGCACTGGTTAGCACTAGCAGTGTTTGCTTATTGAAGTGAGGTTATTCTGATGTGAGGCTACAGACAAAGCTAGCTGTACGACGAAGGCACAAAGGGTGGCACGCGCGGCAGTGGTTTTTATTATTATTATTATTATTTAGGAAGGATGGGCACCACAGACATCAGCTGAGGATAAAGTTGCCATCTGGAATCAGTAGCAAGGCACAGGGGCATTGTGGGTAGGCCTGGGATGCTATTCACTCACTAGTGGGTGGAGTCTCTCATCTCACTCTCTTCTGACGAACTGAAAGAAACAAAAATAAAATTATTGTATTATCATCCATCAGTTATCAAAGCCACTTGATTCTGTTTAGGGTCACAGGAGGGGTAGGATCGCAAATGAACATCATCCGGGCGAGAGGCCAGGAAGTACCGGGATGAACACACTCGCATCCACATTCACTGACACTCACGCAAACAGGAAATTTAGAGTCCCAAATTAGCCTAGCATTAGCATCTCTAGACTATGAAAGCAGATAAAGGGAGCACATGAAAACGTCGCACAGAATTAATTAAACCTAAGACCTTCATTCTGTTTAGCTGCCAGTATTACTATTATTATTATTGTAATATTGTTGTGGTAGGACTCACGGACGTCATTGTTGCGGGTAATCGCCATGGCTGCTCGGGCACGGGGACCTTGCTGGTTAAAGTGGTAGCTGAACTTCACGATACTCGCGTTACTCTCCAACATGGAAGCTATCTGCATTTCCACCGAGTCACCCAGCCTCTGTCTCTGTGGGCGGAGTCCAGGATGGGGGGGGGTCACATGACAGAAGAAATGGGCAGAGTCAAACAAAGCCATGGCTGAAACAAGTCAGTTTCATACTCTTGATTTTATAAAATTGAGGACATGGGATGAGAAAGTTAATTCAGCAACAGTTTATCAAAGTGTGGAGCGCTTAAATTTCACAGATGATGTTCTTATTTCTAGGGTACCCCCTGAGTGAATTCAGGAGTATACTTTTCAGGAAGTGAAGCATAATTTTTATGGGTGCACCACAGAGAGAAAGTGACAGAGACCTCTTTTAGTCCCATAAATAAGGCAGTGAGAGGCAGGGCCTTTCTATTACAAAGGCAGTATGTCTGATGGCACCTCCAAATTGCTATTGGAAAATAGCATAGAGGATAGTCTGCGCATACTAAAAGCTTACACTAAACAGGAGGCAGTATGCTTCGAAGACAGAAGGTTTCGAGGATGTGGCAGTAAGGAGGTTGATTAGAACAAGCCTTGATACTTCTAAAATCTCAATGTGGGTAAAGCAGCTCTATA